CAGGCGGAACGCCTCCTTTCCATCCACGACTCGCCCCGTGAAGATCAGCTCCTTGGCTAGAGACACGCCGATGGCTCTGGGAAGACGCTGTGTTCCCCCTACAGGAGCAGACACAGGAGGAAACAGAGGAGCAACTTTACTACCAGTTACTGATGACACTAAAACATTTTAATAGGATAAGCCTCACCTGCTCCTGGAATAATCGCAAGCTTTGTCTCAACGAGCCCCATTTTAGCACTGCTGGCTGAGGAACAGAAACCAACAGAAGATCCTTTATTTCACACAAACAGCAAACTCAGCAGATACTGATACTTTAATGTGACGTCATGGAGGCGTGCAAGAAACGTACATGCGATTCTGATGTCACAGGCTAGGGCCATTTCCAGCCCCCCCCCTAAAGCAGCTCCATCTATGGCAGCAATCGTTGGTACGGTGAGATTACCTGCAGAGAGCAGAACAGACAGCGTGAACACAAACCCTGACCAGCGTCCCAACGCCGCCGCACACATCAGGTCAGTGAATGACAAGAAACGACTGGGAGATCTGGTCTCCTGCAGGTCTGGAGAGTAAAGTTCTAATGTGAATAATGCTCGCCGTTAGTGTTACACCAATACCATCATGGGGCGGGGCCCCGATCCAGCAGTAAAATGGTGGTATCTGTATCGGCGAGTACCAACCAATAGGGCACCGATACCATATTGAGATCCAAAAGTTTCTTCAACTATTGTCACCCATTCCAGGTAGGCAATAAAAAGTTCTACTGGAATCACTTTTATTTAGTCTTTTTCCTGCTTCACTAAGGAAGGCAGCAGCTGGACATGAAGCCATGATGGTGATTATTCTACATCCAAGCAGTCTGCAGTTCTTCATAGATACACACATCCATTTCAATCAGATGGTATGGGCCGATACTGACAGCCAGGTATGGGGGCCAGAAAATGGCACCAGCCCAACGATTTTCGCCGTAGATCGGGATGGTCTGGCGGTGGTGACGCATTAATCAGAGTGAACCAACCTTTACGGAGGACCGTTCCTGCCATAATTACAGACACAGATCAACAAATAGCTAGCACCATTTAATACGGGAGATTTATTTAATTATTCCTAAAATAATCAGATATACTGATTACAATTTTAAGCCTTAAATAATCTTATTGCTGTGAACTTTCAAATTAAACACATTTTAATCCGATTTTCCTGAACTCTTTGGTTTCAGCCTGTTAGCATCAGCTATCATCTTAGTGAGGAGGGAGAAGAGCAGCTTCCATGTCCACCACCACACCAGTCCCAGCTGCAGCCACGACTCACTAGTCACCTGTTCAACGCCTTACTAGTCACAGATTCACTAATCAATAATTCACTAGTCAGTAGTTCACTAGTCATCGGTTCACTAGTGAGTGGTTCACTGGTAACCAGTTCTCTAGCTGCCAGTTCACTATTCACCGGCTATCCTAGTCAGTGGTTCACTAGTAGCAGATTCACTAGTCGTCGGTTGACAGTTTCCAAAGGGGAACTTCCCTCTCTGCATTTAACCCATCCCCTTGGGGGGCAGTGGGCTGCCATTATGCGGCGCCTGGGAAGCAGTGTTCCAAGGGTCTTGCTCAGGGATCCAGAGTGCCTGCAGTTCACTATGGACCTATTTAGTCAGCGGTTCATTAGCAACCAGTTCAGTAGTCAGCGGTTCACTAGTAACCGGTTCAGTAGTCAGCGGTTCACTAGTAACCAGTTCAGTAGTCAGCGGTTCACTAGTAACCAGTTCAGTAGTCAGCGGTTCACTAGTAACCAGTTCAGTAGTCAGTGGTTCTCTAGTTGCTGGTTCTCTAGTTGCAGAGCCAATGGTCAGTTCTAGCACAGACGTGAGGACTGTTGTTACTGAAATAAAGGTGCAGCCTGTGATGGAGTCGGGATGCCATGAAGTCCTTACCCAGCTCGGTGATGAGGGCCCTGGCTCTTGAAACAAATGGTCCCACCTCACTGGGAGCCATCTTTGCCCTCTCCTTCAGATCGGCACCTAAACACAGAAACAAGAAGGTTTGTTGCCAGATGGACCAGGAGGTCCCTGCTGGAGTTTCTGAACATCTCTAAAGACTAATCTGGACATTTGGTCCATGGTAACTACATTAAAAATGGTATTTCTATCCTATTCTCTGTAGATTTCAGGCTCATACCTGCACAGAAGATACCAGGAACTAAACTGCATAAAATAACGCTCCGAACTTTGTTATTCTTCTTTATGTCCTCCATAGCATCAAACATCTGGAAGAACAAAAACAACATTTCAGCTCCAGGTGCCTTAAAGAGGATCTAAAGCCCATATTAGATAATTGGGAAGTGAAGGTGCAGCATTGTTCTGTAAACTCTTTTAAAACGTCCACAGTTTCCTCCTGTGTGTTTCTGCTGCATTATAAGTTTCTCTTCTGTTAAAATTGTCCAGCTTGGTCGGCTCACAGCTCCACGCTCAGGTTCAAAGGTGTGTTCACGCCAAACACCAACAACATTTAGCCCCTCAGTCGCAGGCAGTTCTCATGGTGATATTTAGCCCAGTTTGCTGCACCGCGGCATCAGATAGAAGGATCGCTGATCCAAGGCCTGTTTCACAAAGCAGGTTTAACAAAATACGTTTTCAGTTTTAAGGCAGCTGCTGTGAATTAGTTCAACCAACTCTAAGTAGGTCCACTCAGAGTGGAGCGTGGAACAACGATGAAAAGCCATTATTAGCTCCGAGTCACCATGATGACAAGAAACAGGAAGTGCCTTTATATTCAGCCCTGAATATAAAGCCTGACTAAATATTTATCTATGATATCTGAAATATATTTCTTTATAATAACATAATAACTAGCAATAGGAATATGGAGATCTGAAATAAATTTCTAGACATCCAGATTGTTTATTCTAGATGTGAAGAATATCATTTTGTTTAAAATGGTCATTTTAAAAAGAAAGAAAATGTTTTTTTCAGATATCAGGAAAACGTATTCAGTCACACTAGTAAATATCCAATCAGCCTGCCGTAACCATGGTTACATTATAGGTAGACTAGCTTCCTGCTATAATGGTAGTGGTTAAATTGATCGATTGAGGTTTAATCAATAGTCAGCAGGTGAAGATGGAGTCTAGAATCATTGTTCTATGAGGGACGACCTGTTCATCGTCTCATGGGTTCCTCCTCATGTTGAGGTAGGACCTGTTCATCGTCTCATGGGTTCCTCC